CTTCCCCTCATGAAGTAGGTGCCCTGGTCCCATTGCACAGATGACACAGCTGAGGCCGAGTGACATGCCCACGTCACGGGGGTAAAAAGTGGCAGCGGCGCATAGCCGCTGACTCGACTCAGGCCGGCAGGATGGCTAAAGGCCCAGGCCTGACTCCTTACTTGGCCACCGGTAGCTGGGTGCCCTTGGGTGGGTTATCCGCCCTCTGTATGCCTAAGTATTTACCTCCTAGGACTCTGCAGGATTAATACCTGTGAAAGCCCGTGTACCTGGCACAGAGTTAAGGTCTAACAGATAAGGTTGTTATGGTAACAATAATAAGTGTTACCTAGCCTGGACTGCACACTGAGCTGTCCACCTTGACCTAGGCTCATCCGGGACCCGCAGGAGGGGAGAGAGAGGCTGGTCACAGGGGCTGGCCTGCTCCCGGCCCACCAGTACCCTATCTCCAGTCTCCCCTAGGGGATGGCTGGTCTGCTGAACAAGCTGAGCCTCGGGGACAGGGGTGAACTTGGGTAACCACGCTGATTGCACTGGCCACAATGAGGGCTTTGGCTGAAGCCACAGCTCTATTCTACCCACCCGGGTCACCTCCCACTGTCCCCAAGAGCGGCTCAGAGGCCATGGGTGTCACCAGCAAGCTTCCCGCGGGCCGTGCTGAATGGTTGAGATGCTTGCCTTTCATTCCGAGGCTTGCATTCCACAGGGAGCCCTTTATCGTGGCCTTGGTGATCAGGCTGGGCAAATGGGGCTCTCAGCCTCCACCTGAGATCTGAGTGCCTTCCTGGCAGAGCTCAGGGCCAGGGGTGGGAACTGGGCAGGGATCCCACCTGCCTTGGAGTCTGCCAGGGCCCTGGAAGCTCTGAACAATGCGGATTTTGACACAAATGAGCTGGGTATTTTTCGCCACAGGGAAGGGGCAAAGAGGGGAAAAGGGTTCGGCCAGAAGGGCGGGGGGCCAGCAGCCCTGTTTTGAGCATTCAGGGCTGCCAATGGATGCCTCCTGTCGCGGGGGGGAGAGGCTGACATTTCCGGAGCACCTGTGCCCCCCTCCCCCCAGCGTCCCGTTTAGTTGGGAAGGGCGGATGGAACGAACAGTCGCCGAACGTGGGATGCTGCAGCTAGACGCTTCAGCCACCGACTACCAGTGTGACCCTGGGTGAGTTACTTCATCCCCGTGCACCTCAGCCCCTTCATCTGTCACATGGGAAGGCCGATGGCACCCACCTCCTACCAATGTTGCGTAGAAAAAAAAAAAAAAAAGGCAGTTTGTGCACTTTTGTTATTCCCTTGACCATCTTGGCAATTGTTTAAGCTGGTGCCTTTGTTGCCTTTATCTGTAAAATGGGAAACGGAAGTCCAGAGGGTACAGTGACTTGTCCTGAGACACTCAGCCAGCAAAGCAGCAGAATCCAAGTCTTGTTGATTTCAAAGTCGATGCTCTTTCTCCTGAAGCTAACCTTTTGGGGACCAGGACCGTAAAGAAAGATTTTTCTGCCAGAGAGGTAAACACACACGTGCGCGCACACACACACGATAACAGCACTTCTGGGTGTTCACAGCCCCCCTGTGCCAGCCTTAGACTAGGACCCACCGAGACAAGGTTTCACGGATTCTGGGTTAAATGTCCCTGTATCTTATCTTACTGTGTTCCGGAGAGAGCATTCTTCTGTTTTCAAAAGATTATCATGCATTTCTTTGGAAAAGAGTGCAGAAAAACACTACCGGAAATTAATTTCCGACTCTTCGGCCTCCAAACTCTCGGGGCACCCTGTGCTGGCCCTTCAGGCCTCTGACGGGTGAGGCTAGCTTGGAGGCTGATGCTCGGCCGTGTTTGCTGGTGACCCCCCCAGATAGGTGGCATCATGATTGCATCTTGCATCCCCTCCTAGCCAAGCACTGTTGCTCCCGCCCCCCAGAAAACCCAATACCACCCCCCGCCCCAGGCATATGCCTTGATGTTTGTGGGGCACCCTATCAGCTGGATATTCTCCGTTGGGTGCCACCAGATATATCCTCTGTCCTGTTCTGTTCCCTGGAAGACCATCCCTGGGGAACCTGGCCCTCTGGCTTACAGGTGAGACGGTCCAGGAGAGCAGAGGGTGGAGGAAAGGGAGCCGCAGGCCTTTCTTCCCCAGCTTCCTCCCTGCTTTGGTGTCCACCTCTGGCAGTGGCTGTGTCCCTACATGGCTGGGGACCGGGCGACTGTCCTGTAGGCTCCTGCTCTTGCTGGACCTCAGAGATCACTTCCTCCCCCGACCTTTAGGCCCTGGGGTGGGGGAAACAGCGCACTACTGCTCACCTCTGGACGCCGCCCCCACCCGTCAGCCGTCCTTGCATTATGGACCCTTCCTGCCGGCCCTCGGGGTGAATCCCATTCCCCTCTGGGACCCTGCTGTCCACCCTTGGCGCCGGGAGGGTCTCACTGTGCTCACTTGCTGCACGCTTGGTTAGATCAGAGCTGCGGCCCCCTCCAGTGCCTGGGCGGGCAGTGCACCCCACAGCGACTCAAGAGGTGTCTGAATGCATAGCTCAGCCCTGACACAGCACCGGCCTCGGGGGCTTCGCCCCACCTCTGCACCTCACTTTTCTCATCTGTAAATGGGGACAGTGTAACACACACACCATAGGGTGCCCCACAAACATCTAAAGGGCCACAC